CTTTTTGGTGATGGGGGGTGGGGAGTAAAGAATGCTTTATCTCTGGAAACGTTTTCTTCTCAACTGTTGGCAGTGTACAACTAAGAAATTCTATAGCCACTACAAAAAAGAGATATTGTATCCTACTACCCCTTAAGAATCCATTGGTGGCTTTCCCAGATGCATGAAGAAAGCCAACAGAAGATGTCTTAAGATTTCATACTTACTTTATGCTCTGATTTATTTCATAAAGTTTATTTGCCCAACATGTCATTAGTGGCATTTATTTCAATAACACTGGAATTCATATTTCAGCTCAAAAGTTATTTCCTTAAAGAATTCTTTCACCAGGTCAAATCCTATATATTCTTTCCCAGAACTATTAGCCTCCCACATTTTAAAAAACAATTTGACTAATCTATCAAATTTCTCCAGAATTCTAGAACTCAAGCTGTGTGAGGTCAGGAACTATATCTGATTTTGCTCAGCACTGTATCCCCAGGTCCTGGTACAGAGTTTTATAGATAATAGGCACTGAAAAAGACAGAGACCTGACAGGCAAATGATCGCACAAGCCACTTTTCCCTGAGAGCACTTGTTGAGTTCAACAAATTCCAACTTTCATTTTGATGGCCTTGAAAGGTGATAGGAACAGAAATTACTGCACACAAACAAGGTGGGGCATCTAACAAGAGATACTCCTTACAGCAAAGTGGAATCCAATGGCTATGCATTGAGAATGAATTAGAAATGAATCATCTCTTATGAGGAATTTAAGTCTGAGATTAACCTGGGTATTCTAGAAAACTTCAAGCCATGACCTTGATTTACCTAACCAGTATGGTGGTACAATAGAACCTGGTACTTGGCAGAAGCAAAAAACAAATTCTTGTGTTAATTGTACAAATAAATTTTCAAGTGTCATGACCAGCACATAGTCAAAAATAATCAGGTACGTTGGGACTTCCCTGGTGGCACAGTGGTTAAGAATCCACCTGGCCAATGCAGGGGACCAGGGTTTGAGCCCTGGTCCAGGAAGATCCCACATGCCGCGGAGCAACTAAGCCCTTGCGCCACAACTACCGAGCCTGCGCTCTAGAGCCCACGAACCGCAACTACTGAGCCTGCGTGCCTAGAGTCCGTGCTCCACAACAAGAGAAGCCACCACAATGAGAAGCCTGCGCACCACAATGAAGGGTAGCCCCCTCTCTCTGCAACTAGAGAAAGCCTGTGTGTGGCAACGAAGACCCAATGCAGCCAAAAATAAATAAATAAATAAATTATTTATTTATTTGTTTATTTATTTTTTGTGGTACATGGGCCTCTCACTGTTGTGGCCTCTCCCGTTGAGGAGCACAGGCTCTGGACGCGCAGGCTCAGCGGCCACGGCTCATGGGCCTAGCCACTCTGCGGCACGTGGGATCTTCCCGGACCGGGACATGAACCCACGTCCCCTGCATCGGCAGGCAGACTCTCAACCACTGCGCCACCTGGGAAGCCCAATAAATAAATAAATTTATAAAAAAATAAAAATCAGGTACACGAGAAACATAACATCATGAGCACAAATCAGCAGGGCAACAGATAACAAAAACAGACCTGCAAAAACCTTAGGTGCTAGAATTACCAGACAGTACAATATGCTGGGAAATTAAGAAATATACTTCTACATTTCTTCATGATAGGAATTAGAAAATATTTTGAGCCAAAAGACAATGAAAATATTATCAATACCTACCAAAACTTGTGGTTCAATGCTGAAGCCACTTCAGAAAATAGTTTGTCAATTCCTCAAAAAGTTAAACATAAGAATTACCACATGACTCAGCAATTCAACTCCTAGGTATATGACCGAGAGAAATGAAAACACATGTTTACACAAATTCATAACAGACAAACTGTGCAAACAACCCAAATGTCCATGATGAATGATTAAACAAAATGTGGTATATATCCATATAAAGCAGTATTATTCAGCCATAAAAAGGAATGAAGTACTGATATATGTTACAACATGGATGAACCTAAAAAACACTATGATAAATAAAAGAAGCCAGACACAAAAAGCCAAGTATTATATATTCCATTTATATGGGATATTCAGAATAGGCAAATTCAAGGAGACAGAAACTAGACTAGTAGTTGCCAGGGGCTTGGAGGAGGGGGAAATGAGGAGTGGCTACTAACAGGTATAGATGTCTTTTTTGTGGTAATAAAAATGTTCTAGAATAGGATAGTGGAACCTTGTGAATAAACTAAAACCACTAAATTGTACACTTTAAAAGGGTAAATTTTATGGTATGTGAATTATATCTCAATTTTAAAAAACTGTGGATTGCAGCTATGTAAAGGAAAATGTATAGCCTTAAATGCATGTATTAAGCCATTCTTAATAGTTCCTATCAAGAATACTTCCTAGTTTACTTACTATTTTTACTAGTAAGAATTCTATACTAGTTTGCTTGCCATTCCTAGTAGCAAAGATATGCTTGAAAATATCTGCAAGAAACATAGATGTATGAAAAGCAATAAAGCAGATTTTAAAAGAACCAAGTAGAATTCTAGAAATGAAAAATACAATAACTCAATTAAAAATCCGATGGGAAGATTTAACAACAGATTAGACATAGCTGAAGAGAGAATTAGTTAACTGGAAGGTAGGCTGGGAAATAATTACCCTGATTCATGCAACAGGTATGCTGAAGTATTCTGTTGTAAAGTGTCATGATATCTGAAACTTACTTTCAAAGGGCTCAGCAAAACATGTTTTTGTGTGTGTCTACCTACATAATGTGTATACAGACATACATGTGTTTAGCAGCAGAGGGAGATAAAGCAAACATGACAACATGTTAAAAATTGGTGAATCTGAATAAAGGCTATATGGATGTGCAATGTACAACTGTACACTGAACATTTTTATAAACTATTCTATTCTAAAATTTAAAAATGGTAAATTAGCAAAATGGTAGCACTTACAATAGCATAAAAATATCAAGAACAAAGAATTGGGTCTTTAAAAAAGAAATAGAAGCCCTCTGTGGGGGAAATCATGAGCCTATCGAAAAACATTAGGAGAACATTTATGTGGACATAGATAGAGATATACCATGTTCATGGATTAGAAGATTAAATTTTTTAAAATTCCCCCAAATTGATTAATAGACTTAATGCGACTTTGTTCAAAATCTAATAAGGCTTTGGAAAGAACTTGACAAGATGATTCTGTAATCCATATGGAAGACAAAAGGGCCAAGAATAGAAAAACCTTCTTGGATTCCAAACACTACACACTGTATTTTTTTTGTTCTTACCTCAGTGGTGGCTCTTTCTCAGCTCCTTCATTGGTTCCCCAACTTCTTCCTGATCTCATGTTAGAATGCCCCAGGGCTCAGGCCTTCAACTCTTTTCCACTTTCACACTGACTCCTTTGGTGATTTCATCCAGTCTCATAGCTCTAAATAAAAATCAACTACTAACTCTCAGCCTCCATTCCAATCTAGACCTGTCTCTCAAACTCACTCTCATATCCAACTGTTTACTTGATATCTTTAATTGGTTATCTAATAGATATCTGATATTCAACAAAATGGATGCCTCAATTTTTTTTCTGTCTTCAACTTTCCTCATCTCAGTTGATGGCAACTTCATCCTGAATTTTAGTTGCTTAGTCCAATACCTTGGGTTAATCTTTGACTCCTCTCTTTCTTTCATATATTTTATGCAACCCATCAGCAAATCCCTAAACGAATCACTTCTCACTTTCCTTTACTATGCTCACCCTGGTTTGAGCCACATCAGCTCTTACCTGGCTAACTTCAACAGCCTTCTGATTGGCTTACCTGTCTCATCCCATGTCCTTGCACTAACAGTCCCCTCTAGTTCCTAACCGAGTTTGCATGATGAAAATCAGTTTGATTTGGGAGTGGCACCCAAGGCATTAGAATATTTTTTAAATGTCTCATACTTCTTCAAAATTATCAGATATTATTTTACCCTTTGGTTAGTAATTGTTGAAACTGAGTAACAGGTACATGGAGCTCTTTACACTATTCTTTCAAATAAATATGAAATAAAACGAAAGCTTCTCTGGTGACTCTACCACTTTTTTTTTTTTTTTTTTTTGGCTGCACTGCTTGGCATGAGGAATCTTAGCTCCCTGGCCACTCGCCCTGCAGTGGAAGCATTCAGTCTTAACCACTGGACTGCCAGGGAAGTCCTCTGGTAACTCTAATCTGCAGCAGGATTGAGAAACAATGGTCTGTAATCCCAAAACCAGAGCATTTTCCCTATAAATAATTGAGACATTTCTACTTGAAAGGCAGTCTTAAAGAATTTAAAAGATACATGTAAGATGAAAAATACCAAATTTATTTTCCAAAATACAAGAAAGAGAGTACACATTTAAATTCACTTTGCAATATACATTAACAACAACAAACCACCTGTTCCATGCCCTACTTGTCTCAACTTAACTCTCAACCAACAGTGGCATTTGCAAGAAAGGAAACATTTCTGGCCCTTGGTTTGCAGAACCTGAAACTTGACATTAGAACATGTGAAATGTATACTCCAGACTCAGTTCTTCTAAATCAAGGCAAAGGTTTGTTAACAATGAATCTCCATACAGATGGAAAATGAAGGGCTTCTTACTACCAATTTATCCAAAAGCTCTAGAATAGTCATTTGCAGTTTGAAGTCTGACCACAACTTTCACTAGTGCTCAATGTATTTTGAGGTAAAGTACAGAACGTGGAAGAATGAAATTCTCTTCAGTTTCAAATGAACTAATATCTAAACCTGAAAATATTATCAAAGGTGATTCTTTGTCTCTGTAAAAAAATAAACCACCCAAATGAATTTATTGGTTTGAAACATACTTGTTTAATAAACCTGACAAGGAAAAATCAAACCAACAACCCTATTTTTGCCATAGTAATGAGAATCTATAAAAGGTTAATTTCTTAGTCCTTGGGAAGTGACACCACATGAGTTCTATAAAAAAATGGCTATTGAGATTGTTAGACTCGATGTGAGCCCCCCTCAGAATACTGGGGAGACTGCAGAGACTTGTTTATTTGTGGACTATTCCCACTCATGCTTACCAGATGGTTATTGATGACATTAAGTTCTTGTATCACCATGCTCAGATCTTCATGTAATTTAACTATTGCATTTTTCACCTCCCTTAGAAGAATGTTAGTGGAATCGTTTGTTTCAGGCTCCCCAGGCAGGTCTTTGGTTGCCTGAAAACTAGAACAGGACACAGAGGTGAAATGGTCTACATTTTGGGTGGAAAATGCTACCCAATTACTGCTAGAAATAGGACTTGTCTTCTTTTTGGCAGAATCAGAGCTGTCTGGAAAAATTTCCAGTAGGTTGAGGTGGTCATTTTCCTCTTCATCAGAGGACAGTGGGCCCCTAGGAGCAAAAGGGTGATGAACCCTGGCTGTCTTATCTTTAACAGAGGCAGAAGAAGACTGTTGATGGGACAAACTCCAGAAGGAAGGTCCGGCCAAAATTGGGGGTGAGAGATGAACAGACTTCTTTGGAGAGGCTGAATCAGGAGATGACACGGATAAAGTAGAAAAGGAGGATGCTCCCTTAGAGGCAGTTGAAACTGAAATGTATAAATGACAGACAAAGATTAGGCAACATACAAATGACAGTAATAGCTAAAATAATTTTACAGTGTAAAATCCTATCTGGTCTCAACTTAAATAAATTACTTAGAATTTTATATGTTAAATAGTCATAATAAGCCCAAATAAACCCAAAGCAGGAAATAGAGAAAATCTAAAGATGTGTTATATATCAATAATTCCATGGAAATGAAACTAAAATAGAAATATCAATATTCATCTTGACTCTCAAACCTTGCCCAATATATTTTTACACTACACTTATCAGAGAGAGCAGAAAAGTAAAGTATTACACGGTATTCTACTCACTGCCAGCATTTTAAGTTGACATTTAAAGTAGAAAGTGTGAGAAACCTGTAACTTAGATTCCTTCATTTTTTTTTTTTTTTTTTGACAGAAAATATTATGGCAAAATGAACAACCAACTACAAGTACCCCCACAGTTATAAAACTAGTCTTTTTCTCTTAATGGTCAAATATAGTCAAGACTGAGTCGAACCCATCTGAGATCCAGGACACTTCAGCACATGTATATAATTTTTTTTTCCACCAAGAAACTGTAAGTAAAATAAAAAGCATTCTAAGCCTATTTTCCATAAAATTAAAAATTTGATAACGTTTTAAACTTCCCTTCAGGCAAAATCATATTAAATCTCTTCTTTCACACTTCATTCCAAATCATTATTTCCAAAACTGTTCTGGGAAACACTGTGTTCCTTAAGATGTAAAAAGATGTTTTGTGAGAACAGGGCTTCAAAGTCAAGATTAGCCAATTGCATACTGTGCCTCCCATTAGGAAATTAACAATGTCCGTTAGCATATTTAAGGTTCTGAGAAATCGACAGTACAGCTGACCCTTGAACCACATGGGGGTTAGGGGCACTGGCCCTCTGCACATTTGAAAATCCCTGTATAACTTTACAGTTGGCCCTCCATATCCGAGGTTCTGAATCAGCAGATTCAATCAACCTCAGATCCTGTAGTACTGTACTACATGTTTATTGAAAAAACTCATGTATAAGTAGACCCAGGCAGTTCAAACCCATGTTGTTCCAGGGCCACCTGTAATTTATTCAAGTGTTTTCCAAACTTGCTTGGGCACAGAACTTTTTCTTGTCTCCTTGGAATGTCTATTTACATTCACTTATGTCTTAGGTGGTAAAAATTGGCAAATTCCAGTGCTAAAGTCTTTGTAACTAACTCTGGGCTTGTTACTTAAAAAACAAAACAAAACAAAACAAACGTATTCACTATAAGTCATAGAAGAGGGGAATTAATGCTTACCATTTAGCACTTAACTTTCTATATTAATTTTATTTATTTTACATATTCATGTCCTTCTAAACTAAATTGGACCTCCTGTAAAAAATGTGGCCAGGGCAGGCAGCTTCTATTTTCTGCTTCAAAGCTCTCTGAGGCCTATCTCCAGTTCTCAGGAAAGAATTCCCATCACAAAACTTTTGGGGGGTGAAATGAGTATTCTCAGCTGATGCAGCAGCAGGACACAAAAAGGAAAGTAGGAACTTCATGAACACACGGTCAAGACAGGACAAGCACACTTAGGAATCTAGGTGAGGCCTATCAAGACATTCTATCCTTGGATTAAAAAGAGGGTATGTGGTAATGGGCATGCCAATGCCGAAAGCCTCAGCATATTTGTGTTGAGTCACACAGCGACACTCTGAGCTCCACTCACAGCTGTCATCTGACATGTCCCTTCGCCATCCTCCTGTTTTCTATATTCCAGGTCTTTCTCTTTCTTGGTCTACTCTCGTGCTGGACTAGCACGTTCTCCAGTAGTTCACTGAAAAAGGATGCACGAGAAGTAAAATTTTGAGAACTCGCATGTCTGAAAATGTCCATGTTCTACTTTTAGGCTTAATGATATTTGGTTAGGTAAAAAATTCTGGGCCAGAAATCCTTTCTTTCAGAATTGTGAAGGCAGAATTCCACTGTCTTCTTGCTTCCAGCGTTGCTGCTCTGCAGTGGGAGTCATTCCATTCATTGTATATAACTGTATGTAACGGTTTTATCTCTGAAGTTTCATGGAATTTCCTCTTTGTCCACCATGTTTGGAGGCTTCTCTGTGTGCCCCAAGGGTGACTTCATCGAGGTCAACTGAAAGTCAACTGACTTTTAATCAGGAACTCATTTCCTTCAGCTTTAGAAAATTTTCTTTAATGCTTTAATAATTTATTTTCTCCTCTCTGTTTTCTCTGTGTTCTTTTTCTGAACCTCTAACTAGTCCAGGTGTTAGATCTCCTGGACTAGTCCTCTAATCTTGTCTCCCATCTTCCGTACATTTGTCTTTGTGCTCTCCTTCCTCAGAGAGTTTTGTCAACTTTAGCTTTCAATCCTACCACTGAGTTGTTAATTTCTGCTATTATATTTTTAATTTCCAAGAGCTATTATTTGGGGGTTCTCAGAAATTCTTTTTGTAACACCCTGTTTTTGTTTCATGGGTGCAACATATTCTCTTATCCCTTGTTTCAATGTTCTACGTTAGAAGTTTCTTTCAGATGTCTGTCTGGAACACCTTGCTGTCTGCTTATGATTAAGAATGAAAAATTACCAAGTTGATTGGAAGCTCTGAGTGTAAGTGTGAGACTTGTCAACACTGAGCTTCAGTGTATAGTCGTTTCAGTGGGTCATCTGTTGGGGAACCACTAATGTCAGTATCTTTGGTTCTTTCCTCTGAGGGTTATAGGTTCTTGTGAGAATAGTTTCTCTCTCCTGCCTAGAAGGTAAAGATCTGGCTCCCAGTGCGCTGGGAGTCTAGCAGGGAAAGGAGACAGGGTTCTCAGTATTCAGCGTTTGGTTTGCATATGGTCACTTAAACCTGTAGTGTTTGTTATAGGACCTGCACACTCAACTCTACCTAGCATCTCTCATTTCAGAGACCCTCCACCTACCTTCTCCAGAAAACAAATCTCCAGACTTCTACCAGAGGTTGTGAGAGTGGGTGAATATTCAGGGCAATTGTTCATCTGTTTGGCAAGGAGGAAAAGTCTTAAGGATTTAAATTGCTTCTCAAATAGCTATTTTCTAATTCTCTTTATTTAGCACCAGACTCCAATAACAACATGTGGAGTAGGCTTTATAACCCCATTTATTTTATTTTTATTTATTTATTTATTATTTTTGTTTTTTGCAGTATGCGGGCCTCTCACTGCTGTGGCCTCTCCTGCTGCGGAGCACAGGCTCCAGACGCGCAGGCTCGGCGGCCATGGCTCACTGGCCCAGCCGCTCCGCGGCATGTGGCATCCTCCCGGACCGGGACACAAACTCGTGTCCCCTGCATTGGCAGGCGGACTCTCAACCACTGTGCCACCAGGGAAGCCCCATTTATTTTATTTTATTTTTTAATAAATTTATTTATTTTAAATTTATTTTTAGCGTGTTGGGTCTTCGTTGCTGCATGCTGCACGCAGGCTTTCTCTAGTTGCGGTGAGCGGGGGCCACTCCTCGCTGCAGTGCGTGGGCTTCTCATTGCAGTGGCTTCTCTTGTTGCAGAGCATGGGCTCCAGGCATGCAGGCTTCAGTAGTTGTGGCACATGGGCTCAGTAGTAGTGGCTCTTGGACTCCAGAGTGCAGGCTCGGCAATTGTGGCACACGGGCTCAGCTGCTCTGTGGCACGTGGGATCTTCCCGGACCAGGGCTCGAACCTGTGTCCCCTGCATTGGCAGGCGGATGCTTAACCACTGCACCACCAGCGAAGTCCCTATAACCCCATTTAAAACATGAGGCAAAGGAATCTCAAAGAGGCAAAGAAACTTTCCCAAGATCACAGGACTAAAAAGGGGCAGAGATGAGACTCAAGTTCTAGTCTCTGATGTTAAACCATATAATCTAACCCACTAAGCTCTAAGTCCACACCATTCTACTGTATTATAATTATTTTTACAGTATTAGAGAATTATGTTAAATTCTGGATATAAAACTGAGAAGGCAGGCAACCAGGATGATGAGGGAATATGACAACTATTCCTTATATAAAGATATATAAGGAATGGTTGATGGATATGCACATCTTTATTCAAAAAGGGATAGGAGGACAAAGGGTAAGAGGCTATATTTGGTTATTGGAAAATAGTCACAAAATCTTAGTAATATTTATCTCCCTTTTCTCATATTGTGCACAAGCTGGAACTGGGGTTAACAGGTGAAAGTAATAAGAAAAGAGATTTCAGCCCAATTTAAAAAAGAAAACTTTTTAATAGTCATGGTTTTCCACACATGAAATTAGCTGCTTTGGGAAGTGGTGAGTTTCTTGATACTCATGGAGCTCATGCACAGCCTGAATGACCATTTGGCAGGAATGTTTCAGGCAAGATCAACGCATCATGTGACAACTATATATCCTTGGTGAGATTCTAAGATTCTAGGACCCAAAACACATATGTTAAGAGTACTAAGAAACTATTCTAGAAATAATTCACTCTGGTCAGGAAGAATGATTTCATAAGGAACATTTAAGAAGGCCAGGAAGAAACTAATATTTGAGTCAAATATTAATATAATATTATATATGTAAAGATAACACAGTTATGATAGTCACACATGTATGATGTGATGAGTATCTGGTATTCCACTTTATGTGTAGTGTTTCTCAGAGTGTGGTTCCTGAACCAGGAGCAGCAGCAGCATCACCTGGTTATTTGTTAGAGATGAACTTCTTGGGCCCCACCCCGGACCAACTGAATCAGACACTTGGGGGGATGGGTTGGGCTCAGGAGTTTTAACAAACCTTTGAGAATCACTGCTTTTTACTGTATGCCCACCTTTCTTCTGCTTCATAGCTACAACTGCTGAGTAAATAGCTTCTCACTGTTTACAGTTCTGCAGCTTTGATTCATAGGCTACAGGATGCTTTTGCTCATAAAAAGCCACTTCATCTCTAATTGCTGCAGGCCAATTTACTTTTGTTTCCAAACACGCTGCAGCTGTACCAGACACTGCACGCTGCACTTCAGGGTGC